GGCAGCAAGAGCGATTGCTGTGCAGAAGGGCAGCATTGGCAACTTGCTGGGCTTCTTGGAGGACAGCCTGGCCGCCACGCAGTTCCAGCAGAGCCAGGCCGGCTTGATGCACATGCAGAACCCGCCCTTTGAGTCGACGAGCGTGGACATGATGCGCCGAGCTGCTCGGGCGCTGCTCGCCCTGGCCAAGGTGGACGAGAACCACTCGGAGTTCACGTTATACGAGTCGCGGCTGTTGGACATCTCCGTGTCGCCTTTGATGAACTCTTTGGTTTCACAAGTTATTTGTGATGTACTGTTTTTAATTGGCCAGTCATGACAGCTGTGGGATCCGAGACCCTGTGTGCGTGTGCGTGAGTGGAGAACTTAGAAACTGACTGTTGCCCTTTATTTATGCAAAACCACCTCAGAATCCACTGTCTGCCCTGCGCTGTCCTGCTTCTCCCTTGGGGAAAGATGTCCCCGTTCCCCCTCCCCTTCCCCTGCCCTTCAAATTTGTCCTGAACCCCTTATTAAAGGAGACAAAGTTCTGTCTGCATAGAAGACTTTTTTTATTTTAACCAAAGTTACTGTCGTTTACAGTGAGTTTGGGGAAAACGACTTGCCGTGTTATCACATTGACAGGCGCCACTTTCATAGCTGTTTTTAATGGTAAACTCTGAAGGACAAAAGTGACTGCTGAACTCTGTGTGGTTTATCGTTGTACATTCACAATCTTGCAGGAACCAAGAAGTTACCAGTTGTGAACAGCCCTTGTCCAAGGGAGGCCTGTGCAGTAGCGTGTAGAACTTCATGTACTGTACACCTTAAACTGTAAACATACTGTAATAACGTCTCACATGGGAAAAAAAAAAAACGCTGGATCAGCAGCAAGCTGTAGTTTTTAAAAATGTTTTTAGTTAATGTTGAGGAGAAAAAAGGCTTTTCCCCCAAAGTATCATGTGTGAACCTACAACACCCTGACCTCTTTCTCTCTTCCTCCTTGATTGTATGAATAACCCTGAGATCACCTCTTAGAACTGGTTTTAACCTTTAGCTGCAGCCTGAATGCTGCCACGTGTGTATATATATATGACGTTGTACATTGCACATACCCTAAGATTCCTTGCAGTTTTGTCCCCCTCTCCCTACCCCTTTATAGTATGACGAGTTAACGAGTTGATGACCTGCAAAAGCGAGACACAATTATTTAATCTCTTGCCAGACATCCCTCCCTGGAGGATGCTGTACAGGTCTCTGTGTATAAAGTCATTGCTGTCTCAGCAGCCAATCAACTTATAGTTTATTTTTCCTGTTTTTTGTTTTCTTTCTAATCGAGGTGTGAAAAAGTTCTAGGTTCAGTTGAAGTTCCTGATGAAGAAACACAATTGAGATTTTTCAGTGATGAATTCTGCATATTTGTATTTCAGACGATGTAGCTAAAAACTTGATGTAAATTCCTCCCTTTTTTCCTTTTTTGGCTTAATGAATATCATTTATTCAGTATGAAATCTTTATACTATATGTTCCACGTGTTAAGAATAAATGTACATTAAATCTTGGTAAGATGTTTGTAAGGGTTTTTTTTTTTTTTTTTTTTTTTTTTAAATCAGCGGAATTGGGAATTAACTTCAGTGCTGTCGGGGATGTAGACTTAACGTTCTAGGCCAGCTCTTACCATGGAGCCTACAGGCCTGAAAGGTCCTACCACCCAGTACAGCAGCTTATTTGGCAGCCTATATGGATAACAAAGCCCTCTCTTTTTCTAGAAACCCTATTGCAATGTGGTCTGGCTTTTCGTTTTTTCTTCTGCTTGTTTCAGTGATGGGGTTTTCACTTGAGTACTGCTTACGCTCGGACTGATTTTGCAGCGTAAGGTGAAGCTGTGGCAGTGAACGACAGACGCTCGGTTTATAGGGTGAAAAGAGACATGGTTTAGGAGGCAGGCAGTTCCCTTTCAGCTCTAAAATGGAAAACTTTCATTCCTCCTGCATTTTTCACATTTTCTTGGAACTGTAATGTGGACTCTGACTTCCTCCAAAGGACGGGGTTTTCCAGCGGACAGAGTTCTAGCGCCCTTCAGCAAATGGCCAAAGTTCAGTCTCTTCATATGAGAACCGGCCCATTTTCGTGCGTGAGTAAATGAGTATTTTATTTAGCTCGAAGCTTCATCCTCAAATTATAATAGAAGCAGGCTAGCTAGAACGGCACTGAACTCATTCAAGCAAAAGAGCCAGTTAAAAAGGAGAAACTTGTTTAGGGAAGCATCATTTTTGCTCAAAAAAACCACCTCATGGTGCGTGTCCTCCCCCCCCCGGTGGGGCACCCACTTACCACACACCCTACTTGCGCTGTTGCGTTCCTTAAACTTCCTATTTCTGGGAGTAACGGTGCCAGAATCAAACTGACGTGATTCTGAGATGGGTGTTTATCGCCAGCCAGTGCTGGGAACTCTACCTCTTTTTGCCTAGCTGGCCAAAGGGGGGAGGTCTTGAAGTGGATTTTTTTAAAGTTAGGAACGGTGCTGGTCTTCCTTGGCTTTTAAAAAAGTAAAACTGAAAGCAAACCAGGTAGTGGGATAAGAATGGCGCTAGACTTTGCTATTCTATGACAGTGCTGTTGATTTAAAAGCAACTTCTGATAATTTAGTCTTGTATACTAGGATCTCTGTTTAAACTAGCTTGATTAATGTAAAAATCTTTTTTTTTTTTTTAAACAGAACTTTAACAGCAAGGTTGCAGAGTACTGTTAGCAGCTTTCGTACAGTCTCTGTGTTCGTGTTAACGGTGAATTTAATCATAAGCGAACACTACATCTGGGAGGAAGAGAATAGTCACAAGCGGTAGCAACTATCAATTTTACCAGTGTTTATACAGCAGGTTGATCTGAGGGGAGTGATTCTGTTCCCCCAATGCGTGCATGCAGGTAAACACACACATACCTCTTTCGCTCCTAAAATGGTTGAAAGAAAAACTGCATAAAGGAGGAATTAGTAAAATGAGAATAATCAGTGTTCACAATGTGTAATTAGGGACTGGTCTGAGAGCCACACCTGATCTAAAACTCGACTTGGCTGCACAGAATGCAAATCCTCCGTGTTTTGACCCGATTCATACCCCCGTTTCTATAGGCAGGCCTTAAAACTCCTGTCTCTGACGCGGGAGGCTCCGTTTTTCGTTTTTACCAGCAAAGGAGAAAAAACTTTTGCTCCTCCCAAGTCAGAGCCCTGATTAAAGCACCCTCAGGGAATCTCCCTTGAAGGTTCAAGTTGGCGAAGGTGTTTTTTCTTTCGCAGCTAAGCGCGGCGCGGCTGATACCGAAGGCGGTCGGTTTCGCAGCGCGAGGACTCGCCTCTTCGCCGCCGACCTTTGCCGCGTTTTGCCAGAACTCGGCG